TTTCTCTTGATCAATGAAAGAAGCTTGAATAGCTTCAAACACTCCCACAGCTTCTGACCAGGCCTACGAGTAGCTGGAACTTGGCTTTACAAGACCTTCATTTTTGTGGGGCATGCCAGATCTACATCTGGGTCTTCCTTTTTCTCAAAGTCTTACACTTGTCACTTTACCAGAATCAAAAGGGCTTGAATTATTTGTATTTGAATGTGGGATGAAGTTGGTTTGAGTTTGATACAATGCTTGTAAATTGCAGATGACTTGTTTGTATTTGTAGTAAAGCATTGAAGAAACTGTCAAACCTGCCAAGAAAAAGGAATGTGGCCATGTGCTCAGGCAGAACCACATTTAGATCTACTTGACAGAGAAATGCCATCCCAGCAGCTTAACTTTATTGCGGCTCAGAACATGAGCTACAAAAACTGCAAAAACAGTATCGTTCAAAAAGAATAATACTATTTGCGAAGAATAATGTGATAATTTAATCAACATAAAATAATATTATGAGTGGCATAGAACTACAGTGGAAACCTGATATAACAGGGATGGAGGGAGTAGAGAAAAAGTCCTGTTATATCCGATCCCTGTTAAAACCGAAATGCAAGGAAAGTAAGCATTTGTGGACTAATCTAGCTGTACTTATTCATGGGTAGTTTCCCTAGCCACAAGTACCCACGAACAGAGGTTTTGGCACCGACGTTCTCCTTGCGTCCTTAAACTTAAACCACATCAGAAGAGCTTGGTCCACAGCATCTGCATCTGGTAGTCTCATCTTCTTTCGATCCAGAGCAACCTTTTCATTGGAGTATGCTGCCACTATCTTCTCTCTATCCTTGATAATGGTGGGAATCGACCCTTGTGGAATGTCGAACTGGCGACAAATCTCTGCCAGTGGATCTTGCTTTTGTCAACAGTCTGGATTTTTTCGTATTTTTTGTCAATTGAAAGGCATTTTCTCTTGCGCTTGACATCATTGGTGACCATAATGAAAGAAGTAGGCTTAGATCTAGGCCTAAATACTCTCTCTCTCTCTCTCTCTCTCTCTCTCTCTCTCTCTCTCTCTCTCTCTCTCTCTCTCTCTCTCTCTCTCTCTCTCTCTCTCTCTCTCTCTCTCTCTCTCTCTCTCTCTCTCTCTCTCTCCCTTTCGGCTAAAATAAATTAATTATAGTAGCACAAGATAGACATACTACCCGAGTTGATCAGCAAGTAGGCTAGTCCTAGCAGCTTTGCATTGTAACCAATATAAACGTACTACCGCTCTCTCAGAGAGCCAATCACAATCCAACATTTTTGGGGTCCACCTAGACACCATGACTACGTAGACCCCAATCGGAGAGTACGTAGACACTTCCTTTTTAAAAATGGTTACGCTGACAAAAAACCTCTTCCGGAAGAAAGGGTGATTGTTTTCTTCGTTTAATTTGACTTTAGGATGAAAGGCGAGAGGTCATTAAATTATTTTTTTTAACCCAAAACTCCGCATTGAACGAACCCGAACTGCTGATGAACAGCAGTCGAACTGCGCACGCAAGGAGGTGCTATTCCTATTCTTCTTTTGGAAAAACGAAAGAGAGCTTCAAAACAGACTGCAGCGCCATCTGAAGCAAAGAGCGAACTTCCGGCGGACACTTTTTTGGCTGAGTGGCCCATCTTGTTATTTACTATCTTTGGCTACACGCTCGGGGACTGCGCAGTCACCTAGCGCTGCTTTTGGCACTGACTGGGGGACTGCAAAGAAACAAATTTTGACCTTT